AAAAAAAACAAAAAAAAACAAGGCCTGGTGTGGTGCTGCATGCCTTTAATCCCAGCACTTTGGAGGCAGAAGCAGGTGGATCTCTGTGAGTTCAAGGCCATCCTGGTTTATATAGTGAGTTCCAGGTCAGCCTGCCTCTGTCTCCCAACTGCTGGGGATTAAAGGCATGCACCACCATGCCCGGCTGTTGTTCGTTTTATGTAGAGTTTAAATAAATATCTAGTCTTTTGAACCTATCCCTTCTCCTGGAGGTGATTAAGGATTGAATGTCTTTACTGAAGCAGATATGCCCTTTTCTGCCACAGTAACAGTATCTGGGGAATCAGCTGATTCATGCTTCTTTAACTCCTTCATGTGAGCTAGAAATGAAGATAATCACAGTTGACCTGTCGCTTAATTAAACCAAGTCATTCATGAAAAATAATCATGTTCAGTAACAACAAAGAGAACTGGTTGAAAACAAAATGGGAATTATTCCACCTTTAGTGAAGAATTGCACCATTAGTGCTTTGTAAGATCAGGTGATGCTTTTATCTGAGGGGCTGGCCAGGTTGGGGGTTGGGGGTGAAGACTGTTTTCTTGTAATTGACTGAAAATGCTATGTTTAAAGAATGGCTTTAGATGAACTTCCTGCTTCCTTTCAGATGTTGTCATTTGTCTTACAAGCATCTATAAAATCTTATTAACATTTAAACAGCCACTTGAAGGATCAAATTTTGATAAAAAAGCCAGGAGGTATTATGGAGCTCTAAGAGTGAAAAACAATCTCAGTGTAGCCTGCCTTCCCTGCCAGGCCATTGGCTCCTGCGGTAGCCAAGAGAGGGTAGTGAGGGATCTGTGTGCCCTTTAGACACTGCCGATGGCCATCCCCCGAATTCCACTGAGCTAAAAGCCTCTTTGATCTGAGCTCATTGTCAATAGTGTCTTTCTAAGGAACAGGTTTGTAAACTCAGCATCAAGTAGTTCCCCAAATTTACCTAGATAATTGCAGAAATTCTTTGGTTTCTATTATTAGGCAATAGGATAAATCTAAACATTGTGTGTGTGTGAGAGAGAGAGAGAGAGAGAGAGAGAGAGAGAGAGAGAGAGTTATTGGGCTTTTTTCTTAGATTTGTGGGGTGAGGTGGGACTCAGGTTACAGTGTGCATGCGGACCTTAGAGGACAGTGTGCAGCAGTGAGTTCTCTTCCTGTCTGCCTGCTGGGTCCTGGGATTGAACTCAGCTCATCAGGCTTGGTGGCAAGCACCTTACCTGCTTAGTCATCTCACCAGCCCCTCATTGAGCTTTCTTGTGGAGCATGGGTGAGGGGTTACTTAGAGGACCATGCCCCATAATAGCTACATCATCAAAAGTCCCACCCCATGGATGGCAACCTCATATAAGCTACCTCCCAGAGTCCTGTTGCTCTTACAGTGCTAAATCTGACCATTTTTCTGCTTCCTCTTCTAAACACTGGGTAGTTTTAGGAGAAGAGTGTAGTTCTTTGGTGTACCTTGAAGTAACCTCCCAACTCACAGTGGAGTCTCACTTCTCTACCTCGAAAACAGCTGTGCATCAGCAGCCCATCATGGCCAAGCTGTCACTCAAGCCATTTCCTTCTGGGCATGTGTGTTATTTCTAAATGTGAGGAGGGGAAGCCAGAGAGGATGGACCCTTCCAGTGCTGGTATGGCAACTGAATTTCCTGTGACCACCATAATGGGCTGCCTTGCTGGCTGTTGCCGAGCATACAAACCGTTTCTGTCTTTGCTCGTGCATGCTGATGGCAGAACACTGTCATGGACCTCTTGAAGCATCTGTTACAGTACAGCTAAATGTAGACTTTAGTTTAATGCCAACCTAAGAGCTTTGAAAATAAAAGCTTTTAACTTTAGACTCACCTTTCTTGGGAGGGTAAAAAACCTTTTTTTTACTGTTTCTCCAGGACTCTGGATCGATTTGGAAATGTCCTACAATGGGTCCTTTCTGATGACTCTCGAGACCAAAATGAACTTGACCAAACTAGGTAAAGAGCCTCTTGTTGAAGCCCTGAAGGTTGGAGAAATTGGCAAAGAAGGGTAAGGGGCTATATATGAATTTACTAACCATCCCTGGGGGACTGGCATCTCCCTGCAGCTTGTGAGAAGCAGGTTGGCATGGGGGACCCACATGGAAAGCAAGCTCTGTGTTAGCACTCTGGATCACTGAGTGAGTTTCACACCCATTGGGGACCACTGTGACAGCACACAACACCTGTTGGTGTCAGCACTGGCAAGGGTGACACTGTCTCAATTACCCAGAAAGCATCACCGACTCAGACAAGCCAGGCAGATACATCTAAGCATAAATTGCTCCTCACTCAAAGCTGCTTCCACTCCCAGCCACAGACAGCACTGTGTGGAACAGGTTAAGATCCCCTGGGGATTTGCTGCTTTAATCACCAGGTCAGGATTATTTATAATGAGATGGTTGATCTTGTAGCCAAGAGGATGCTCTGCAAGTACTCTGAGAAGTATTTTCCTGAAATAATACAATATTGACTTGCTTAGTAAATTCTTCTCTCTGTAGATAGTACATCTGCTGCCCAGAGTTAAATCTGATTTAGAAATATTTCAGGATCATGAGATAACAGAGCATGATGCCCAGAATGAATAAACTAGAACTCCTACATTCCCAAGCACCTTAAAAGTGACTGCTCTGGCTGTCCATTTAAACCATTGTATTGTTTTGGCCAAGTTTTAAAAAAAAGGGTGCAGCTTCTCACATCTGGTCCCTCTGCATGGGACTAACCACTGTGACAGGGCATTGTCACAAGGGACCACCTCTTGAAAGTCTAAATGCAAGGCACAGGATTTTTGCTTAGCTCCAGGCTGACCTACAACCTTATTCAGACTTGTGGGAACAGCAGACTTGAGGCAGTCGGGTTGTGCCCTCAAGAAAGTTCTTTCATTTAGAGTATCCTAATTTATCTGAGTTACTTAATGAAATGTTCCTATTTTGATAATTGGAGAATTTCACCTGTTGGATGCAATCTAACCTGTATCTGCTATTTTTCTTTCATTTTTCTGCTATTTGATAAAATGTTTTTGGATTCGGCAATCTATGGATTTGTGTTTTCTGGTGAGTGATATTCATCAGCTCTCCATGTAACATTCCATACCCTGTGAGTGCTGAGTCTGAGTTGGTCCCACAAGGAAATCTGTCTCTCCATCATGTCCCCAGGTGTGAAGGCACAGTCTAAGGACCTGAGAGGGCTGAGGTCAGAGTAGGGCAAGGGAGGGAGTCTCCCAGTTAGAAATGTGGTCCTGAAGTCAGACCCAACTTCTTGTCCTGCTCACCACTCCCACCCCAACTTCCACCCACACAGCCCAGCATCATCGGTCTAGCCTCATGATAGCAGAGTTGCCTGAAGCCAGGCATGGTGGCCCACACCTTTAATCCCAGCACTCGGGAGGCAGAGGCAGGCAGATCTCTGTGAGTCCAGCCTGGTCTACATAGTGAGTTCCAGGACAGCTGAGGCTACGGGGAGACCCTGTCTCAAAAAGTCAATAAACAAACAAACAAACAAACAGTAGAACACACTGTCAAATCGTCCTCCACAAAACTCATCACAAATACAAGGAGTATCTATGACATGGTATGTGCTAAACATGGAAAGATGAAAAGAGACTGGATTGGACTTACTTTTTCCATGTAACTTTTTTTTGTCTTTCTGAAGCAGGGTCTCCCTGTAGCCCCAGCTGTCCTGGAACTCACCATGTAGACCAGCTGGCCTTGAACTCTCAGAGATCCGACTGCCTCTGCCTCCCACGTGCTGGGACTACAGGCGTGACCCACCACGCCTGGCACCATGTAACTTTAAAAAAAAATTGTTACTTTTATGTGTATAAGTGTATTGCCTGCATATATGTAAGTGCACCCATGATAGGCAATGCCCATGAAGGTCAGAAGAAGGATCAGATCCCCTGGAACTGGAGTTAGGACAGTTGTTAGCCACCATGTGGGTGCTGGGAATTGAACCTGGGTCCTCTGCAAGAGCACTCAGTGCTTTCCTGTTGAGCCATCTCTCCAGCCCCTCTATGTAAGTTTTGTGTTTAGAAGATAGAGAGCAGTGCAGGTGTTTGCAATGGTAGATAATGTAATAAGGAGCCTGTGCTGACTGCTTATCAGGTAGCTTGCCAGACACATTGTTGATCTCCCCTGATTTTTTTCAATATTTTATTTATTATTATTTTATGTGTATGCATGTATTGCCTGTGTGTAGGTAAGTGCACCTGTGTCATGCAATTCCCATGGAGGACAGGAGAGGCTGTTGGATCCCCTGGAACTGGAGCTATGGACAGTTGTCATCTGCCATGTGGGTGCTGGGATTTGAACCCAAGTCTTCTGCAAGAACAATCAGTGTTCTTAACCACTGGACACATTGTTGAGATCCCCTGATTTTTTTTAAGCAAGTTTAAGAGGCTCTCTGATCCTCTGGGACTGTAGTTACAGACAGTTGTTAGCTGCCATGTGGGTGCTGGGATTCAAACCCGGTCTTCTGCAAGAACCACCACTGTTCTTAACTGCTGAGCCCTCTCTCCAGCCCTCAGCACTATTTTAAAACAGTGGGCCCTACTAAATGGGAGTGGGACAGAGAAAAAGTCTCAAAGCCCTGCCTCTGGGAAGCCCTGAGAAACAGACCCTTGGGTCTTTTTCTTCATAAAAGACCCCTTAAAGGGGTCTTTCTTTTAGAAACATTTTCACATGCATCATTTGGTTCATAGTTTCTAATGACATTGAGAGCCTCTGAAAGCCCATGTGTGGGTTGTTAAGAATCTAGTTCTGGGGCTGGAGAGATGGCTCAGCAGTAAGAACAGTGGTTGTTCTTGCAGAAGACCCGGATTCCAATCCCAGCACCCACATGGCAGCTAACAACCGTCCAGAGGATCCGACAGCCTCTTCTGACCTGCATGGGCATTGCACAACAAGGGTGCACTTACCTACATGTGGGCAATACAGGCATACACATAAAATAAAAATAATAAAAGAATCTAGTTCCAGGGATGGGCGTGGTGGCACATGCCTCTAATTCCAGCAGTCTGGAGGCAGAGGCAGGCAGATCTCTGTGAGTTCAAGGCTAGCCTGGTCTACATAGTGAGTTCTCGGCCAGCTGGGGCTACAGGGAGACCCTGTCTGAAAAGTACCAAAAAATAAAACTTGAAAAAAAAAAAAAAGAATCCAGTTCCAGAAACTTCCCAAATCTGTTTGCTCAGTTCCTTGGTCATGAACATATGGAACCACCCTGAGGCTAAGGAAGAGAGACAGAAGTCAGCTGTTACCAACCTCTGATTATCCTCCTTAATATCCAGTGCCTCAGGGGCAGAGTATGTAAAGTTGGTCCCAGCAGCCTTTCTCCAGGCCTTTCCTTTAGTCCCTTGTTCAGGCCTCACTCCACACAGGAGGGTTTGCTCCTACTAGCCAGCTTTGGCAGGGCCTCTGCTGCTCTAGTGGGAAGTTTGTTCATCATCATACCTTGAGGGCAAGATGGAGAAATTGAAATCTAGATTGCTTTATTCTAGTCAGGTCCTGTCCCTTTGAAATGCATGTCTACTGTGTATTTATAGGTGGTTATCTTTCAGGCTTTTACTTTAGCACCTAATCTCCTTGTCACAGCCTGTAGTTAAATCACTTAGGGGCAGTAAGGTACTTGGAAGTGGAATTCAAGGGCTGGGGGAGTAGCTCATTGGTAGTTCTCTTGCCTGGCATGTGAAATTCCAGGTTCAGTCTTAGCACTGTGGGGGCAAAAGGGGGAACAGGAATCAGGGAGTGAGTATTTCACAGTCTAAATTTTTTTTTTTTTTTTGTCTTTTTGAAACAGGGTCTCCCTGTAGCCCCAGCTGCCCTGGAACTCACTAATGTAGACCAGGCTGGCCTCAAACTCACAGAGATAAGCCTGCCTCTGCCTCCCGAGTGCTGGGTGGGATTAAAGGCATGCACCACCACGCCTGGCTCAACAGTCTAAATTTTAAGAAAGAATCTGAAGATGACCCAGATAAGTCAGAAAGGGAAGTACCCAACATGCCAGGAGCTTCAAGTGCATAGAGGCATGGGAACGGGCATTTCTGTGATGTGCCTGACCTGTTCTTGCTCTTCTACTGCAGCTGGGCCCAGTGTAAGCCTCCATATGGTGGCCCCTCCTCCACCCATTGTACTATCTCCCCACCCCCAGACCCCTGATGTTCCAGGAGCCAAGTATACTGTGACTCAGTCTGGTTCCTGGGTATATGCACGTGTGTGCACAGCAGATGTATGGGAATGGTTTCTCATAAATACGAGAATATTAATGTGTTCTTATGAGTGTGATCCCCTTATAGGGCTGTTGAATCTAGTTATTCGCTCTTAAAGCATATCTTACAACAGCTTTTTAGAATTGCCTTTGGAGTCTGTGACATTCTTTTAACTAGCTCAAGTGACAGGAAATCACTCTGCTTTGTAGATGGTTTGAAAAACTGCTAGAGGTTGCCAGAAGTGGCAGTGATATTAGATCAAGAAATAAAATGTTTGAGCCAGACTTGGTGGTTCATGCCTCTGATCCCAACACTTGAGCATCTGAGACATGAAACTTATCCTAAGTTTGAAGCTAGCCTGGGCTATATAGTGAGTTCCAGGCTAACACAGGCTACACAATGAGACTGTCTCAAAAAGAAAAAAAAAAAAAAATTGGTCCAAGACAGAATGAATAATCAAATAATTCATTTTTTCTTATGTCTGACTCCAAGCACAGTTCTAAAAAGATATTTGGGTGGCGCTCTGAGAGGGAAGAATGCTCCTGGAATTCTGAGGTGTGTTTAAAGCTGCTAGGCTCCTCACATCCCAGCACGTCTTTTATGAGGATGTAAAGCATGTCTTTCTCTAAAGTCCTTACTAACATCATAAGGTAGAGAGCATAAAATGCATGTTTAGTTTATAAAAACGGACTAGGAACCAGACATTTAGCCACAGATTTAATTAGTCCAGGGTACCACACAATACAGCTCCCAGTGCTGGCAGGAAAGGTGCCACTTGGTCAAAATCAGAATCCACATCATACGATATGCTTTAACTGATGCTGCATTCTCTAAATTATTCACTTAAAGCCACAGAACTGAACCCTCTGTTCCTGCAGAGGATTAGTTCAAGAAACTGAGAGCTCAATGCAGGCCCAGCCTTCCTCATCTTCTGCCCTAGAGATGTAGGTGCCAGATGATGTGTACTGATGGGGAAAAGAGGCTGTGACTCAACAGATCTCACTGTGATCCCAGATGCTACAGGCAGCCCTTTATGCTCTGTGGCTGAGGACTGGGCCCTGGCAGCTAGCATCCATACCTGGCAGCCCAAGGACTAAGAACCAGGAGCACAGCTGTTTTGCTGATGGAGAAGTAGGACAGTTGTGTAATTGTTGGCAGTTTACATCTCTGACTCTCCTCTTCCCAAGATCCAGTTCAAGCTTTCTTGGGAAGTGCATTTTGCTATGTACCTTTGAAACCAAGAGCTCTGTGAGGGTGGCTGACCCACAGACCCTCTGAAACAGCTCTGTGACCAGCAAGGGTATAGAGGCACTTCCTGGACTAGCTAGGCCTGTTATGGGAAAGTGGGAACAAGAGTTGGTCAAGTACTGTTAGCGAAGAGAAACTTCTGTTCTGCTGAGAGGCATTCCCTCTAACATAAAAAGTTCAGCCTGCTGGTGGGGTGCTGGCTCTGTTTCAGAGCCAGGGTGAGCAGGATCCGAGTGTCCTGCCAGGGAGGATGCTGGTGGGATCCTCTTACAGCCAGCTCCTATTTCAGGGGCAGAGGCTCAGTCCTGCCCTCCCATGCATGCGGCTGTGTGCTCTACCCTTGACCCCTGTTAATCAGGAGACAACTACCCCAGTGAACTTCTGGTGGCCCAAGCTGGTTATCAGGAAAACCAGGACTACAATCAGAGACATCAGAGCTAAGGTCACTGCCTTTCCCTGTTTGCCCTTGTCAACAGTATAAGGTGTGTTTCATGATCAGCCTTAGTTAAGTCCCTGAGACTTAAGAGATGGGGCCCAGCAAGTAATCTAGTAAGCAAAGCCAGTCTAGGGAAGGAGCCACCATTGGCGGGGCTGAAGTTCTACCTAGTGCACCTCAGCGGGGAACTTGATCCCACTCTGCTGGTGATCCAGCAAGTCCTACCCCTCTGGAACTCTGAAGAGTTTAATGAGGAACAGTACTCTATAGAGGCTGTTAAATTTAGTGAGAAACCTGGACTTTAAATCTGTGCTATTCCAAGAAAGGCCCTGAGTTTTCACATCAGTTGCTTGAGTCCCTTGAGACTGGGCACCTTGTGATTTCCATCTTTTTCTGTGACCCTCAAGGGATAGGGCAGGTGTGGGGTAACATACCTGATTTTACTAGGAAGGAGTCCAGTCAAAACTAGTTTTGAGAGGTAACTAAGTCAGGAAGCATCGCAGGCAGGGGACTTACCTATCTACCTCATCATTTCACCAGCATCAACTGCCGTCACACCTCTGCAACCTTCCTTCTTCCCATTCCCTCTCCCACTTGGCTCCTGCTAGACTGACAACATCACTGCATTTTATGTGACTCCATCACACTCCACCACTTGTCCTGTGGTGCATGCTCAAAAGCAAACTGTTCTGGGCCCAAATCCTCTGCAGTCCTGTCAGGGGACTTGACACTGGAGTCTCCTGAGTAAGCAAGCCAGTTCAAGAACTCTTGACTGGGCTTTTTCTTTCTTAGTGAGTTGGAGACATTGACAAGATATGGTAGGGGTTCCATCTAAACCTGTGTGGTAGAGTGTGTGTGTGTGTATGTATGTGTGTGTGTGTGTACACGCGCATGCACTGGTGTGTGCTTTGCAAGTCACTGCCAATGGTGACTTTGCCACTGTTCAGTTGCAGGCCCAGGGCATATTGTCTGGCTGACAGTGATGAGGAATCCTCCAGTGCCGGTTCCTCTGATGAAGATGATGCACCAGACCCCAGTACTGGAGACAAACAGCAGCTCCCTGGGGCTGAGGGGTGAGTGGATCAGGGCTTCTGGAGGCTCCAGGCATCTAGGCAGTAAGCTGGGAGTGGCCTGTTTTCTATATTGACATCCATAGTGGAAAAGGCTCCATAGCCTTGTTTCTTAGGAGGTTCCCAAGCTTTGTTCTGCCCTGTGAGTAAAAGAAGTTGAAGCTGGGTGTGGTGGCATATGTCTTTAATCCCAGCATTTGGGAGGCAGAGGGATCTCTGAGTTCGAGGCCAGCCTGGTCTACATAGTGAGTTCCAGGTCAGCTGGGGCTACAGGGAGACCCTGTCTAAAAAAAAAACCAAAAGGTTGAAGGGCACCCTGGGTCTTCAGAGGGTGCAAATTGCACACTGCCTCCTCCCCCTGGTGGCCAGAAGAAATAAGAGCTCCATTATACACCATAGTGGGATCTACTTGTACTGCTGGCTTCTACAAAGCTCGACTACTCAGGTTTTCTTTGATGAATTTTGAAAACATGGATGACTTAGCTGTATATTTGGGTCATGGACCTCACTGGGGCCTCTCTTTGCCTGTTACTTGGACAGTGTAGTGATCAGTGCATAAGAAGCCATTCTGTAAGGGTCTTTAAATGATTTAAAAGGAGCTAAAGAAGCTAAGATTACAAAGAAGCCAGGTGATTCAGAAACTTTATATCAGCCTACTCTGAAAGCGTACAGAAGGTGAGAACTCAGGTACTGGCACAGTTGGTGCTAAAATTTGTGTGCACTGCTTAAAATTGTAGCTGCTTGACCTTCCAGAATGATTGTTTAGGACTGGAGGTCCTAAACACACACACACACACACTCATTCATTCTCTCTCTCTCTCATGCCTATATATAAACTTTTTTTTTTTTTTTTTTGAGACAAGGTCTTAAGATGTAGCTCTAACTAGCCTGGAACTCACTATGTAGACGAGGCTGGCCTGTAACACACAGAGATCTGCCTGCCTCTGCCTCCTGAGTGCTGGTATTAAAGGCATGTGCCATCCAGCAATATCCACTATTATTGATTCTGTGAAGCTGCAGAGACTTTAAAGGAGCAGATAGCCTCTCTCCTTATGGCAGTCAATGGTAGACAGGACCTGATGCAAAAGCTGCTTTTCTTGATTTGCTAGCATTATCTGCTTGGTGGTAGCATTTTTCTTTAAGAAATTCTAAACCAGAAAAAGAAGAAGAGCAAGTTCTAAGCCCTTTGAAAAGTACCTGACCCTCAGAGTTGTTACGACACCACCTGAAGATAGTCTGTCAGTCACTATTTTGTTATGGTGTGTTTTACTGTTTGGTATTCAGAAATTGTGACGTTTCTCCAGTAGGATAGGTGCTTGTACTGAGCCTGTAGTATAAGGGTGGAGATCCCTTCTCTGTGTGATAACTTTATCCAGCTGTCCATTGTGTAGTCAGGGGGCTCTGAACCTTACACCTTCTCTAAAGTGACAGTTCTCAACAAGGGTGATTTGGCCCTCACAGAGAGACAGACATGTTTGATTATCATGACTTGGGAGAGTGCTCTTACCATCTAATCCACAGAGGCTAAGAAGACTGCCAGATAGCCTAAATACACATAGGACAGCCCTCCTTGACACAGAACCCAGTCCACAGTGTGAACAGCATTGGTGTGGAGAGGCTGCTGTAGAGTAAATGCAGAGCCATGACATTTATGTTTATGAAAAGATGTTTCGGGCAAGCAAGGTGACCTGACAACCTGAGTCCCCACTCAACATGGTGGGGAAAAAAAAGCCATGTTCTCTAACCTTCACGGGTGCTGTGGCACACACACACGGACACGCACACACAAATGTTATGTTTAAAGAGCTGTGTATAATAATGCACCTTTACATTCCTTATTTGAAGGTATGTTGGAGGTCATCGAACAAGTAAGATTATGAGATTTGTTGATAAAATTACCAAATCAAAATATTTCCAAAAAGCAACAGAGACAGAATTCATTAAAAAGAAGATTGAAGAAGTCTCCAATACTCCCCTGCTGCTAACTGTCGAAGTACAAGAATGTCGAGGGACCTTGGCAGTCAACATTCCACCACCCCCGACTGACCGGATATGGTGGGTAGAAGCCCTAAGTGAGTCTCCTTACTGTATGACCATAAAAGTCTTGGTCCACTTGGCCTTGGGACAGGAAAACTGCTACTGTTTTTGTGGGACTTACATGTTAGTTGTTGATCTAATTGTACTTTCTTCCATGAATGACTTGTGCACATTTTTAAAAATATTTTATTTTTAAATATTTTATTATTTTATTTTATGTGTGTGTGTATTGCCTGCAAGTAGGTAAGTGCACCCGTGTTGTGCAATGTCCGCGGAGGACAAAAGAGGCTGTTGGATCCCCTGGAACTGGAGTTATGGACAGTTTTTAGCTGCCATGTGGGTGCTGGGATTCGAACCTGGGTCTTCTGGAAGAACAGTGATCTTAACCACTGAGCCATCTCTCCAGCCCCTATTTATTATTTTTATGTGTATGCATGTATTGCCTGCATGTAGGTAAGTGCACCCGTGTCATGCAGTGCCCACAGAGGTCAGAATAGGGTGTTGGATCCCCTAGAACTGGAGTTACAGACAGTTGCTAGCTGCCATGTGGGTGCTGGGATCTGAACCCGGGTCTTCTGCAAGAACATTCAGTGTTCTTAACTGCTGAGCCATCTCTCCAGCCCCGACTTGTGCACATTTATGAACCAGTTTTCATATATTAGGAAAGGTTACAGTGAATATGAGGTTTATGGGAGGAACTATTTCTGTTCTTGATCTTCTTATCTCTAAAGCTGACTCCTCCATCAGTAATAACAGCTGCCTTTATCTCTGCCTGGCCTAGTTGTAACCACACCATGGGGTTAGTTCTCTTAGCCTCTTTTTCTATCTTTCTCTCTCAAGATTTATTTTTCCTTATGTGAGTGTGTGCTGTGTGTGCAGGTGATTGAGGAGGCCAAAAGAGAATATCTGATCCACTGAAGTTAGAGTTATAGGTAATTGTCAGCACCCAACATGGGTGCTGGGAACTGAACCCAGCAGGTCCCTTGGAAGAGCAGCAAATACTCTAAACTGCTGAACTATCTCTCCAGCCCATAGCTTCCTTTCTTGACAGATAGGGATCATATGTGCAACCAAGGTCCAGGAAGAGACCCCCTGAGTTAGACTGTGGTATCAGGAAGCTAAAGCATGTACCCCTGGGGTTTGTGGTAGGAGGTCTCTCTCAGGAAGTGGTTCTCTGTTCCAGCTGGATGGAAGTTGCTGGATGGAAGTTACATGCTGAAGTTACAGCCATGCCTGGCCAACCCGCCAGGATTCCAGCAGTTGCTGGGGGGAGTTATAGTGATTAAACCACAATTAGAATTTCTAAAATAAATTATTAATGGGTCCAGCATGTCTATGAATCTCAGTCTAAAATTGGCATTCCAGGGACTGGAGAGATGGCTCAGTGGTTAAGAGCACTGAGTGCTCTTGCAGAGGACCCAGGTTTGGTTCCTAGCACCCACATGGCAGCTAACAACCATCTGTAACTCTGGTTCCAGGGAATCCAACACCCTCTTCTGATGTCCAAGGGCACTGTACGACATTGGTGTACTTACACATGCAGGCTATACACTCAAACACATAAAAATATGAAAATCGACATCCTAAGTCCTATTAAAGTCATATGTGTATATGATGAGGTTATGAGAGCCCTCATTCTTTTGTAAACGGCACTCATGATGAAAACATAGCTCTGTAATCCATCATAGCATGACATCAATGTACTATACACATCCTTGGTACGTAGGAGGCTTTGTAGGAATACTTGGGTTTTTTTCGATTGACTGACCATTGGCTGATGATGCTAGTGTTTCCAAGTAAAAGACAGAAAAATAAGAGGCTAACAAGATGGCTCAGCAGGTAGAGTCTGCCACCAAGCCTGACAACCTAGACCTACATGGTGGAAGTACAGAACCGACTCCCACAAGTTGTCCTCTGACTTCCACATTCCTGTATCCTGGTATTCACATACCTACACACACACACATACAAAATAAATGTTAAAAAATTTTAAAGAGCCCACAGTCTTACACTCCAGAAATAGCTAAATACCTCACTGTAGACTGCCAAACCTTAAAAAGTTATTTTAAATTAATGAATCAATGCATTTCTTCCTAACTTCCCAGTTTTAGGTATAACAGTTAGAAATGCCCCCACCTAGTGAGAGACACAGAAAAGACCTCTAGGATAGTGCTGCCAGCATCTGCTCGAGCGCTGAGTGCTAGATGCTGTGGAACCACCAAGGAAGCGGCATAGTGAGAGCATAAACATGTATTGGCAGGGCTGGAGATAACTCATGGTGGAGAGCCTGCTTAGCATGTGAAGGCCCTGGGTTCGATCCACCACAGAGACAAACAAAAAATATAATAGAAACTTGGCATTTTTACTGTGTTGCTAATAACACTGACCATGGCAATGAGATTTTTAGGTAATCTGATAATGTCTTACCCAGAATTCTTTTCTTCCTCTATTTTGAGACAGGATCTTGTTATATAACTTCAGGCTGGCCTCAAACTAGGACCCTCTTGCCTCAGCCTCCTGGGTGCTGGGATTACAAGTGTGCACTACCACACACTGTCTGGACACTTTGCCAACAGTTCAGAGTACCAGTCTGTCCTAGTGGGAAGTCAAAAAAGGCTTAGGGTCACAGGGTATGGTGGCACCTGTAATTTTAGCATTCAGGAGGCTGGGAGGCAGAGACAAGAGGATTGAGAATCCTAGGCCAGCCTGATTTACACAGCAAAAACAAATGAAAAGACCTGATGTGGGAGGAACATTCTCTGCATATGTTTAAGAAGTGTTCTCTTTTGGAGGTGACATTCAGGAGACCGTCTTTCAAGTTCTGGCTTACATATATTTTGGTTTCTGGAATGTACATATCTTATTTCTATAAAAAAATAAAAAAGAGAAAAGAAAGAAAAGAAAAGAAAGAGGTCATTAGGAAAATCAGAACTCAAAAGGCAATGCCCAATCTTGGCCTTTCCTTTGATACTTCCTGGCTTTCCTCCTTTGTCAGCACTGGTCTCAGTCCATCACAGCCCTGACAGTGTCCAGTGAACACAGGAATTCACAGCTCACTCTTGCTCTGCTGAGTTAGATTTGGGGGGCATTTTCAGAATTAGAGAGCATTTTAGTGATAAAACCCCATGTCAATGAGAATTTGCCACCAGCGTCTGCCTACTTCCTTTCTTTCCTTCTTTATGTGATTCTTGGCTTCTTCAAATAGGTATGGTTTCCGGAAGCCACCATATGTGGAGCTGAAAGCTCGGCCAAAACTTGGAGAGAGGGAAGTGACTTTAGTTCACGTGACAGACTGGATAGAGAAGAAACTGGAGCAGGAGTTTCAGGTAAAGTTTTCTTATCTCACCAGGTGTGGTGGTGCACGCCTTTAATGCCAGCACCCGGGAGACAGAGGCAGGTGGATCTCTGTGAGTTCAAGGCCAGCCTGGTCTACATAGTGAGTTCCAGGGCAGCTGGGGCTACAGGGAGACCCTGTCTCAAAAAGACAAAAAAAGAAAAAGTTTTCTTCTCTCATTTCTCATTGGTGGACAAAGGGCCCGAACTTCCATCTGGGTCTGGATCCTCTTTTGAGATTTTGATAAAAGCCAAGAAGAAAACACATTATGTTCAAACATGGGCATAAAGTTTTCGGTGTGGTTTCAAAAGCCCTGAAACTTTTCCACAGAATATTACAAAGTAGTTTTTAGACTCAGAGAAATCCAATAGAGGTGTTGAGAGGGCAAAGTGATGGAGCTCTGAACGAAGAAGCCTGCTAAGACACTCTGGGCTTTGGTTTTCTCCACATGAAGCCAGGAATTGGCCAGCTAGGGGCATCCAGCCTGTGGTCAGGGAAGTTGCTCCCTGCCTGTTTGTTAGATTCACGTTACTGTTTGTTCAGTTCAATAACCATTCATGGAAACTCATGTGCCAGGGGCCAGCTATTCTACGAGTCCAAAATGAATCAGCCCCCTCCCCCCCCAAGTATCTTCTAGTATAGCCAAGGCTTCTGTAAGCCAGAGCTCATCCTCTAAGCCTGTTTACTGCATTCACCCACCAAAGGTAAGTACCATAACCAAAGCCCCTGGGATGTGCTGGTTTTTTCTATCATATCGTGATCAGATTTTTGTTTTGTTGTGGTACTGGAGATCAAACCCAGGGCCTTTTGCATATACAGAGCAAGCACTGTACCACTGAACTACACTCCCAGCTGCTTGGTCAGATATTTGAAGCACAGCTGTGTTTCAAGGTTTTATGGATTAGCAAACAATTTATTTACTTTGTTATGAACTTTCTCCTTGAAGAATATCTATATTCTTTTTCATTGGTAAATTTTAAGTTTTGGGGGGTGTGTTCATGTGTGCACAGGTGCATGTATGTGCCTGTGGAGGCCAAAGGTCAGCCTTATATCATTCCTCAGGCACTGTCCACCTTGTTTTTTGAGGCAAGGTCTCTCACTGGCTTGGAACAAACCAAGTAGGCTGGCTGGCCAGTGAGCCTCAGAGATCTGCCTGTCTCTGTAACCCCAGCACTGGGATTACAAGTACCCTCATGCCCAGCTTTTTCCACTTAGGTTCTAGGGCTCCAACTTAGGTCCTCCTTGCTTCCAAGGGCCTTACCAACTGAGGTATCTCTGCAGGCCCCATTTTTAAGTTTTTGTGAGTGGGATTCAGTTCTCTTTTTACCATATAGATTTTCGGGATTGAACTCAGGTCATCGGGGTTAGCAGCAGGAACCTACCTACTGAACCATCCTAATGGCTCTTAAGTTTTTGGTTTTTTGTTGTTTTTTTTTTAATGTGTATGAGTTTATCGTCTGCATGTATGTGAGTGCACCCATGTTGTACAATGCCACGGAGGTCAGAAGAGGGCTTTGGATTCCCCTGGAACTGGAGTTAAGGACGGTTCATAGCCACCATGTGGGTGCTGGGAATCGAACCTGGGTCTTCTGCAATAATGCTCTTAACTGCTGACCCATCTCTCCAGCCCCTAAGTTTTTGTTTCTAAAAACTGCTACAGCCAGGCATGATGGCACATGCCTTTAATCCCAGCACTCAGGAGGCAGAGGCAGATCAATCTCTGCGAGTTCAAGGCCAGCTGGGGCTACAGGGAGACCCTGTCTCAAAAAGACCAAGAAAGAAAAGAATTAGTTTGGAATGTACAGAAAAAGATTTCATGTGTGTGGGGGGGGGCAGTTTGATAAAGCATTCTTCTACACAGCTGTTCTTTAATATCTCCCTACAGAAAGTTTTTGTCATGCCAAATATGGATGATGTTTATATCCCTATAATGCACTCAGCCATGGACCCTCGCTCCACTTCCTGTCTCCTGAAAGATGCACCTGTGGAGGCCTCTGACCAGCTGTGATGGGTGAAGATGGGATATTCCCAGTCTGAGACCTAGTTCAAGGTATGGGATTTGCAACTGCCATTTGTGCTGTGGTCCTGGCCTTTACTGGTGCCACAGCCACTGTCTCTTAAAGGACTGCTTCTGCCCTCTGCCTGCCAGTGCCCATTCCACTGTGAGGTGTCATTCCCTGCAACCAGTGACAAGTGTCTGGATTACCTGCTGTGAAGCTTTGACTGGCAAAGACTAGAAGAATCATCATGGTGGAACCAGGTTACAGTTGACTCACACCATGGCTTTTTAAAAGTCTACCAGTTCTTGTGGCAGCAAACGAGCACATTCAGCAAAGCTGTACAACTGGATGGCTCCCCTAGCCTCTCGACTCCTCCAAAGCTTTTCCTCAGGCAGCTGGTGCACAATGGAACATTTTTCCACTGTACGCATGATTGCAGCCCTCCACACTCCAAGAATGTCACTGTGGTAACCTGTGTGGAGAGTAGTTTTGTGAGCCATTTTATCAGTGGTAAAGATAGGCATAGCAACTTTTTTTCACATTAAATTGTGCGTTTTGGAAGCAAGTAGCCATAGTATACACACACACTTTCAGCTGGGGTGGGGACAGTAGGTTTTATGTGAACATCAGACAAAACCATGAGATCAAACTATCCCAAGCGTTTCACCAATGAGGTATAATCACCTTGCTTCTAACCAACCCCAGTTGTTTTCCTGAGACATGAGCATATGTGACATTGTCCCATACTGCACACAATGCTTGATTGCTCCTCCCTAGTACAGACGGGCTGGAGCCAGAAAGCCAGGGCCAAAGCCTTCTCATCTGGCTTTTTCTCTGTCCTCCGGGAAGCTTCGTGTCAGAATGGGAGTGCTTTGTTAATTGGTCTGAGAGTTTTGTGGGCAGTTTCTTTCTCTGATGGCCAAAATGGAGAACTCCTCTTTCAGTTCTAGCTGACATCAGACACTACACCTGGTATGAACTCATGACCTTTCTTTAATGTTGCCAACTTAATTTTGTGCATTTGTGTCAGAATATTTAGTTTACAATTTTGGGGACTATATGATTTGCTAATACCAATCTTTATTGTTTAAAGCTGCATTCAATGTCAAAATTACTTTAGGTAACTTTTGATTAACATCTGTGGACAAAGCAAACAGTGGTTTTAACAGCACCTTGCCTGAAGATGGCTTTGAAAAAATTAATATATTAAAAAATTATATTTGAATCCTTGATATCTTAATTACACCATTAAAACATGACTTAAATTATTTGACCATTCCTGTCAGCATACTGTTCTAATTTCTCATTGTGTAGGCCAGTTTGCCTGTCAGTCTGCATGTCTTGTTCGGTGGTCTTTGTTTCTGTGCAATAAAGGCAAAAGACAGATGCACTACAGTCTAAAGAGATGAATGTACCTGTTGCACTTAATTAGTATGTGGGGACTAACAATCACTTGCATCGTTTCACAAAATAAATCTCATGTCAAAACACTAGATAAGCATCTAAGTCATTTCTACCAAAGCCTGCTTGGAGGACAATGCAGGGTAACGGACCCTCACCAGGCTGCATTAGCTTTGGAGTTGTGTTTTGACAGAATTTCCCTGTACCCCCAGCAGGTCTTGAACTTGCTTGGTAGACCAGGCTGGCCTTGATCTTAGAGATCTATCTGCCTCAGTCTCTAGTCGGGATTGCTAAAGGCATGTGCTACCACTGTTAGCTACCTAAGTTTGATGTAATGCACACACCACCCCCAAAGTAGCCTAACATCAGATCCACCTTGAGGGGAAGGTTACAGTATTTTCTGGAAAAACTGGTCTGAGACCTGATCCCCTAAAACTTCTATTGCCTTCCTTTTGGTCTTGATTCAGCTATCCCATGGCCACCCATAATCTAACATGATTCCAGGAGGCCTCACCATTGGAGGCAGGCACCCTTTTCTTCCTCAGTTCACATTAGAACCAAACCGAACGTGGCATCAGGGACAGTTGTGCTCACCCTTAAGTATACAGTAACTCAAATATTCAGTTCAGGCCCTGTCATATGCCTCACTTGCGCACTTTGAACACTGATGCAATCACATCAAGCTCAAATGTAAGGCCTCATCCACTGACATGAGGGTTTTAGGTGTCAATGCTGTGTCCTGAGGCCCCCTGTCGGCTCAGACTGCGATTTGCATCACCCTCATAACCACCCCTTATTGTTAACTATTTAAAGGGAATTGGGACTTTAATTTGCCCCAAAACTTCAGGACTATGCTTGTCATGTTTTTCTATAAGTGTTGAGAACATTAAAATTTCCTGTAGTATTTTGTAACATTTGCCCCCCTCCCCCGTACTGGGGATCTGACCTCAGGCACATATGCTAAGCAAGTACTGAGTTACCTCCTAGCAGCTTTACTTCCTTAAGGCGTCACTAAATTGCTGGGGGTTGGCCTTCAGCCTTCCCGGGTAACTGCAGACTTGCGCCACCCCGCGGTCTGTGTGCCCGCAAGTTTTACTAACATGTCGGCACTACACTCGCGAGCCATAGATTAGGTGTTTGGGACCATGTAGCTCCAGTGCTAACCCGTCTCCCTTCCCTACCACTCCATTTCAGCTCCGCATTAGGGTGAAAACAAAAGGTCGGTGAGCATACTGTGCAAAGCATTATGCAGTCATTGGCCCCCAGGCCGCTCGAGTCTCGGGTGCCCTGCGTGGAAATTGCCTGCTCTGGACCCGCCCGCGCCCCTGTAGCTGGCGGTTAAAAGGGCCACCCGCGATGAGCAGGTGGCCCCAGTTATGCGCGAGCAACGTGCTATGGCGCTGCAGCTTAACCCCCGGCGCCACGAGGAGGCACGGCGGGGGCTCAAAGGCAGCGCGTGGCCGGACACGCACACACGGACACGAGCGCTGGAGTCAAACCGCTTTAATAAAGGCTTGGGGGAGAGTGGGGAAGGGAGGGGCGGGCGAGGTCCACGCGATCCGAAGTCCTGGGCACGGCAGATCTGCAAGACAAGCGGACGGTGAGGGGGGTACGCCAGCCGGGCCCGCAGCCTCCCCGCGGCTCCCGGTCGGCTCAGACTCCGATTGCATCATCCGCATCAGCAGTCTAACGCGTGCAAACAGTGGAAAGTCATCACCGCCGGCCGCCCACCCACGCACGCACAGCCCAGCTTTCGGCCCACGTAGAAGCCTCACATTACCTCCCGACCGCCTCGTGGCTGAAAGACAGAAAAGCGCCTGTGGCCTTGGCTTAAAGAAAATTCACCGGAAGTTACTAGGCGGGACTTTAGCATTATTGGTCAATAGGAAGCCAGATTTTTGGGTCACGTGGCGTAGCGAGGTCTGTTAAGTGGAGCTCTCTGAGTCCTCCAGGGTATACAGTGGACTCGGTCTAACCATAGAGACAGGCGCCTGGGAGAAATTCTGTTTGCCGGTGGCAGGCCTAGCAGTTCTTCCCGAACTTTACTCCTTTCCGTAGGGGGTTTGTGTGTCCCTTTCAGTACACAAAAGAAAACTTAGCGGGGTTGGAGAGATGGCTCAGCGGTTAGGATCACTGGTTGTTCTTTCAGAAGACTCTGGGTTCGAATCCCAGCACCCACTTGGCAGCTAAGAACTGTCTAACTCCAGTCCCAAGGGATCGGACAGCTTCCTCTGACCTCTGCGGGCATTGCACGACAGGGGTGTACTTACCTACATGCAGGCAATACACGCATACACATAAAGTCAAAATAATAAAATTTAAAAAAAAAAGAAAACTTAGCAAACCGGGCAAGACCTTATGTGTGTGAGATAGTATGCCCCAGTCGTCAGGCTAGCAGCTGAAGGTGTGAAAATGAGCAGAAAAAGAAAGAGAGAGCCGTAGAAGGAGCAGGGTTCATGTGAATAAATCCTGATTTTACATTACCTTTTTTTTTTTTTTTTTTTTTGTCTTTTGAGACAGCATGAATTAATGTCAGACGCCTGGCACAGTTCTAAGTGATGAACATTCGTCTTAAAGGACTAGTGTGGTGCAGGAAACTGAGTTCAGTACCATAATGAATCGTTCAGTAGATGTATGAATATCCTATGGAAGCCTACAGGAAAGAAGTATCTTCGGAAAGACCAAACTGCATCCGTAGTTCTTCGTTTATGAGCGAAAGCGCTACCCTACCCACTTGGTAGGCGGATGAACGAGAATATGGTCCAGGCTGGCTTTACTGGCGAGGAATCCATAAAGGACAGTCACAATCTGCTAATCTTTACTGTCTTCCAATGTTTTCCTTTGGAATTCTTTTCCTTTTATCCTTTTAATAAGGAAATTTCATTGCTTTTCGTAATAACATTTCAGCCTGAGCCTGTTGGGCTCTTGTTTTCATTAGTTTCTACCTGATCTTTAAACTTAAGAACCTCCTCTTTGGGGCTGGGATGTGACAGGTAGAGTGCTTACCTAGCGTGTCTGAGGCCCTAGGTTCTATCACTAGCACGAAAAAAAAAAAAAAAGTTCCTCTTAGATTGCAAATTGTAGTCTTTTCTGTGGGTATGTGTGTATTGCCTGTATGTGTGTAAATTGTGCAATGCTCGTGGAGGTAAGAAGAGGGTGTTGGATTCCCGTAGAACTGGAGTTACACACCACTGTTAGCTGCTATGTGGGTGCTGGGAACTGAACCCAGGTCCCCTGCAAGAGCAGCCAGTGTTTTTAACCACTGAGCCATCTCTCTAGCCAGGCAAACTGTAATTGTTTTGATAAGTATTTAGAACCTACCAAATGATTATTTAGTTTTATTGCTGCTTAAACTTATTTCAACATTAGTTATATTGTGGTACAATATCTACATTGGAAAAGGTATTTAAATTTTTTCTTTCTTTTTTTCTTGAAACAGGGTCTCCCTGTAGCCCCAGCTGGCCTGGAACTCACTATGTAGATCAGGCTGGCCTCAAACTCACAGAGATCCGCCTATCTCTGCCTCCCTAGTGCTGGGACTAAAGGCATGCACCACCATGCCCGGCTATATTGAAATTTTATTTTCACTTAAAAGATTTTTTTTAACCATTTCTTCTATTTATTTTTTTATTTTATGTGTTTGAGTTATGCATGTATGTTAAGTGCACCTGTGTGGTACAAAGCTCTCAGAGGTCAGGAAAGGGTGTTGAATTCCCTTGAAACTGGAGTTACTAATGATTGTTAGCCTCCATGTGGGTGTTAGGAACCAAACCCAAATCCTCTACAAGAGCAGCCAGTGCTCCCCTGCTGAACTATCTCTCCAGCCCTCCAAAAGATCTTTTTTTGAGTCTCCCTGTAGCCACAGCTGGCCTGGAACTCACTATGGAGATAAGGCTTGCCTCAATCTTACAGAGATCCCGTGCCTCTGCCACCCAAGGGGGGAGGAGATTAAGTACTAAAGGTATGCACCACCACGCCCAGCCTAGATCAATTTCTAAATAAAGATTTTATTTTATGTGTATGAGTGGTTTGCCTGCATATTATATAAGTGCACCATATGCAGGCAGTACCCATGGAAACCAGAAGAGGGCGCTGAATCCCCTGAAACTGAAGTTAAAGGCATTAGCTTCCTTGTGGAACCCAACCTGGGTCTTCTGGAAGTGTAGAAAGTGCTCTTAACCAGTGAGCCATCTGAGCTCCACAATTTTTATAAATCTTAAAACAGATTCTTAAAATGAAAATATTTTTACATCCAGTACAACTCTGATATAATTCAGTTTTACCAATGTTGTAATTACATTGCAGAATCAAAATTATTTTTTGTGGTAGTGTCTCATGTAACTCATGCTGGCTTCAAACTCCTTGTGTAGCTGAAGCTGGCCTTGGACTCTAGATCCTCTTGCCTCTTATCTCAAGTACTGGGATTACAGGTGTGTGTCATCAGGCCCAGCACAAAAATCTTTATTTTGTACATTGTGTGCTTGATTGAAAGTGTATGTGTACTGTCATTGTCTAACACCAAAAGCTGGCAGGGATGCAGTGCAAGCAGGAGCTCTGTTCCCACATGCTTAGGAATGCAAAATAGAATAGCCACTTTGAAAAAGAAGTTGGAGAGTCTCTCTCTCTTTCATCCTCCCTCCCTCCCTCCCTCCCTCTCTCTCTCTCCCTCTCTCCTCTTTTTCCCCCTTCCTCTTTCCTCTCTCCCTCTTTTCTTTTTTTTTTTGTCTTTTTGAGACAGGGTCTCCCTGTAGCCCCAGCTGTCCTGGAACTCACTATGTAGACCAGACTGGCCTTGAACTCACAGAGATCCGCCTGCCTCTGCCTCCCGAGTGCTGGGATTAAAGGCATGCACCACCATGTCCAGCTCCTCTTTTCTTTCTTACTCCCTCTCTCCCTCTCCTCTCTCTCTCTCCTCTCTTTCTTCCTCTCCCTCTCCCTCTCTCCCATCTCTCCCTCTCCCCCTCCCTCTCTCCTTTCCTTTCCCTCCTCTCCCTGTCTCCTCTCTTTCTCTCTGTTTTTCTCTCTGACTGCTGCTTGGTGTAAGGCACAGTGTCTTGGGAGAGGAACAGCCCTCTCCAGTTCTTTCTGGCCTAGTTTACAGGGTGGAGTGTGGGGGCAGGGCCTTGCCCTAGGACTGCAGAAGCCTGGGCTGTCTGGCAGGCCATTCTGCCAGGTCAGGACTGAGGCTTGGGCTGGCCACCAGCTGATTGACTACTCTCTCATAGTTCCGGGAGCCAGGCCACTGGTGACCATGCTGCAGGAGGCCTGGGGAGACTGCCAAGTGCTCAGGGGACTCCAACACTGGCCATGAATGGGAGCCTGGACTTCCCAAAAAAGAAGCTGGCCCACCAGTGACCCTAGTCAGCTTTGGAGAGACCCCAGTGGTGGGACATGGCATCCACAGGGTGCTGGGAACCTTTGCAGGGGGGCGATGCTTGATAAGAAGCCCAGACAGTGCTGATAGTAGTCATGGTAGCCAAGAGGGAGCTGCAGGAGGGGATGGCTGCATGGTACAAAGCTTGCAGTGGTGCCTGTCTCTGTTGGGGAGATGGGGATTGGGGGCCAGGGTGTTGAAGGGGCCTGAGGCAGTGGAGCACATTTGCATTGGGAATTCTCTGAAAACTGCATCTCTGCAGACCCCCAGAACTCCTGGACAGTTTCTTTTTACAAAAATGTTTTATGAGTGTATTGCTTGCATGTAGGTAGGTGCACCCCTGTTGTGCAGTGCCTGTGGAAGTCAGAAGAGGGCATAGGATCCCCTGAAACTGGAGTTACAGATGGTTGTTAGCCACCATGTGGATGCTGGGACTCGAACCCAGGCCCTCTGCAAGAGCAGTCAGTGCTCTTAACTGCTGAGCCATCTCGCTATCCCCGCCCCCGCCCCCAGACAGTTTCTTATAAAGTTAAACATACATTTACCACATGACCCAACAGTCCCTGGGAACTTACTCAAGAGAAATTAAAACTTGTGTACACAAAAAGATCCCACATATACATGTAGATGGCAACACTATTCATTAATAACAACCCCAAACTTGAAATGCGCAAAGGTCCTTTAATGGGTTAATGTATAAGCAAATTATGGTATGTCTATACAACTGAATGCTACTAAGCAATAAAACATCATAATTGTGTTTTGTGGGGTTGGAGAGATGGCTCAGTGATTAAGAACACTGGTTGTTCTTTCAGAAACCCGGGTTCAAATCCCAGTACCCACATGGCAGCTAGCAACTGTTCATAACTCCAGTCCCAGGGGATCCGACCCCCTCTTCTGACTTCCAAGGGCATTGCACGACACTGATGCACTTAACTACATGCAGGCAAACACCCATACACACAAAATAAAAATAAAAATTTTTAAAAATTAAAAAAATAAGTAATTGTGTTTTGTTTTGTTTTTGTTGTTTTTTGAGACAGGGTCTCCTTATAGCCACAACTGGTCTGGAACGCAAATGTAGACCAGGCTGGCCTGCCTGACTTCACCTCCTGTGTGCTAGGATTTAAAGGCATGTTCCACCTCGCCTGGCAACAATAATCTTTTGGTAGATGTGATGCTTGGAAGGTTCTAGAGGCCTTTATCCATCATGCCATCTCAGGCTCCCTCCTTTTTCTTTTCGTTTTTTTTCTTTTTTTTTGAGATAAGAACTTGCTGTGTTGCCCAAGATGACCTTGAATTAAGGTCATCTTCCAGTGTCAGCCTCTAGAAATCAGGATTATGAACCACTATACCCAATGAGATTAATCAACTTCTGGCTTTATTTTTATTTATTTATTTTTTTTATCTTTTTGAGACAGGGTCTCCTTGTAGCCCCAGCTGGCCTGGAACTTGCTATATAGACCAGGCTGCTTTGAGCTCACAGAGATCTGCCTGCCTCTGCCTCCCAAGTGCTGGGACAACTTCTGGCTTCTTTATATTCTCTGCTTTTTTTTTCTTTTTGCAAGAGGGTCCCATGTAGCCCAGGATGGCC